TTGGGCGAGGACAGGAGTTGCAGATATGCGTAGTTGCCTCCTGCTCCAGGCTGCGCATGATGAGAGACATGCTTTTGCTGCTTCTCAGGTATCAGATCAGACAGAAAATCTTGCTCGCGTTTTTGAAATGACGACGCTGCTGATCCGTGGCCGGTGATCGGGTCTGGAACCGTGGGAGGTCGAAGAGCACTCTGGATGCTTCTGACAGACTGTTGCTGGAGAACGTAGCCGGACAGAAAAAGGAGAAGAGTAAATAGGCAGACCACGCCAGTGGAGAGGATGACTGAGACTGTTGAGGAGGACAGAAGCACCATGACTGTGTGTAACTTGAAGTGCACATCAGTCGGTATGCTTGGACCGATCTAGTTTCCGTTTCGGGTAATATGTGTTGATGTTCCTGAGATGCACGAGAGACAGCGACGCATGAACTGAGCATCGAGCACACGAATATAAACACCACCATACACAATTAAATTATATACCATAAATCATCAAGATCGTTATTGATAAAAGTCTGTATTTTGAAGCCACAAAACCTGCTAACAGCGGACCTGAGACACAGGTTGCATCACCAGCTCCTCCGCTTTACCTCTCCGCTGGTTGCCCGTGCGACTATCGATAAGAGTCTCCGTCTTGGCACAGCCTCGGCGCCACAGCCACAGCTGATCTTCCTGCTTTTCAAAGTTTCTGGTCTTTTCTTCGCGGACAACCTTTGAAGTCGCATCCACATCGGCACTTTCCGATTTTATTCAACATGTCCTCCCATCGTGCTGATGCGAGTACCCTCCTTGACAATCGTGGCTATTCAGGGCCCCTGGTCCGCGGTGTCAACCCCGCCACATTGTTCGAGAAAGCCGTTCGCGACCGCATTACAGACTCATATTACTGGAAAGAACAGTGCTTCGGTTTAAACGCAGCAACACTCTGCGATCGCGCAGTTGAATTGACATCTATCGGCGGTACATATGGTGTCGCCGAGAAACCCACTCCGTTTCTTTGTCTTGCGTTCAAGTTGCTGCAACTCAACCCCGAGCGTGACATCATCTTGGAATATCTCAACTACACCGATCCGGGCAGTGACGAAGAGACAGAGGCCGCGGCGGAGGATCAGGCTCGAAATGGCGTGGTTGGACAACGGGGGGACTTCAAATACCTCCGCGCCCTGGCGGCGTTCTACGTGCGTTTGACCTTTGACCCAGTCGACGTCTACAAGACACTGGAACCACTCCTTCTCGACTACCGGAAGCTGAAACGACGAGTGCGCGACACGTTTGTGCTTACCTATATGGATCAGTTTGTCGACGATCTTCTGACGAAGGACCGTGTGTGCGGTACTAGTCTTTGGAAGTTACCGGCACGGCAACAGTTGGAGGATCTGGATTTGTTGGACGAGCGCATCAGTCCATTGGCCGACGAACTGGAAGAATTGGATAAGGAGAGCGACCAAGGCAGCCACGATAGCGAGTCACGGTCTAGCGGGGCGGCTGAGGACGAGTGAGCGGGTCACTGGACCCCATAATCGGCATCTCGAAAATCTCTTGACACGCTACAATTCTTGGCCGCCATTGTCACTCAATATACGGACTGATGCGTACCCCGTTGCCAATCCAGCTCCTCACGCGCTCGCGCCAGTCAGACTGGCGCGAGCTAGACAGGACAGGGGGCGCCTCATTATCAAGCGGACTCAAGGCATCCTCGTCGCCAGGTGCTTATTGAAGCTATCCAGAGTCACAGTCGAAGCTTAAGGAAGCCAGAGCCAATATGTGGTGTTGCTGGAACTTCCTGGGCAAAATAATGACCTCCGATTGAGTTCAGAAGTCTATGGCAAACCTCACCAAACCGCCACCAGGTGATGATCTTGGTGCAGCATGTCGAATATTCTTGCTTCAATATGACCTCGACTCTACATATCATGTAGATTGCGTTCTTGTTTGCTGTAGGTATGTGTATAGCTAGAAGCAGCTTGGTATCCATTGATAATAAAGATTATACAGTTATACAGAAGCACCAAGAAGATCATTTGGACCACTCAAACAAACTAATTAAAAACCTTGCTGGCGATGCCATTTGTCCTCCCAGTTCCTGAACCAAGGGCTCTCGTCCAAGGTAGCCACTTGCCAATTTTTGTCTACGAGACCTTGCCCCTCTTGCTCCTTAGCCCATTCTTCAAGCTTCGGAAGCACGATATGCTCCACGTGCCATGTATTCTTATATTTCATCAGATTGTCTTTTCCTTCCTTGAGGACCTTGGCTACCAAGGCTGGTACGCATGGTTCATCACGGAATTCGGACACGGGCGTGAATAGTGCCTTGAAGTTGAAGACGACCGCTGCCGACAGAGGCAGACGTCTCAGTGTCTGCCAATCCACTCGCAGATTGCAATCAGCCAACTGCAGGCTGGGGTCTTGAGAGAAACGAAGTTTCTCATGAGGATCCCCCGGGGGCATATACAGAGGCTGTCCGACCTCTAGACCCCAGGACCCTCTCTGGATTGGTTTATCTGTTGGCATTTTGGAGAAGAACCTAGCAGAGAACTTGTCAGCGACCCCTTGGGCTTGCCGCTCTCCTTGTAGCTTGGACCTACCGATCCATAGAGAATTGCATCTTTTCCTTATAGTCCGGAATCGGCTCATGGATTTGATGGAGCTGAAGCCCTAGTTTCAATCCAACATTCCATCCTAGAGCAGAGCAAACCACTGCCGCGCGGAGGAAATAGAAGCCTGTCTCCGCATCCCGCAGCATGATCGCAAAGTCTTCGGGGACATTGTCGAGGAGAACCTCCAAAGGATGCTTGGCTCTGATGTCTTGCTCGGTGTCGAGGATCTTGTTCTTGAATATCCTCTTGCCCTCTAGCGAGAAGTACTGAGGATAGCGGGCGCACAGAAACTGCAAGACCATTTCCATCAATTCCTTGCAGGCTAATTCAGACCCTGGAAGATAGCCGAGCAGTGATGAGCCGTGTTTGGCGTATAATTCCTTGCGTTGCGCGATTCGAGCTTTGTATGTGCCTTCGAGCTCAATCCACCAGTCCGTTTCCATTTTCGTTAGTGCTATACGTAGGGAAATACCGACTGTCAGCTCCTAAATCCGCTTTCGGGGGTTTTCTAGTGGACGGTTTGTTGCTGGTCAGGCAGGCTTACACATGGTTTGATGGTATGTCCACCGGAACGGACGATATGGCCTCGGTAGGGCCTTGTCAATGACAAATTCATCGTATGGATGGGGCAAAGGCACGCCACTTAGGGCTGCATAGTCCGGGAAGTCTCCTAACCTTTTGATCTCCTCTACTGAGAACCCTGTCGGAGTATACCTTTCTTCTTGACAATTTCGGTAATCCATTGTCATCGGCAGAATGAATCGTCTGACTTCGGCTTCATCAATCTCTTTCGACTCTGCCGGGCTCTCTCGCAAGGCAGCGAGGGCCTGCCGACGCTGTGGTGGTAAAACATTGGCATAGTTTACTTGGGACACAGAACCGATCCCTGGCTTCTTGTCGGGTGATACAGATCTTGGAGGCGTTCCAGCAGCTGACGTTTTGCGGCTCTGAAGACTTATTCTCGGCCAGACTTCTCTGCGTTGGGATCGATCGAAAGTGAAATAAAGCCCAACGAGCGCAGCCAGGGCCAGACCGGACAACCACCAGTCACCGAGCATACCGAATATCTGCATCCTCATGTGCCTTGTGAAGCGATATATAAATGAAAACAGACATACAACATGTAGCTACGCCTGTTCGGAGGGCAAAAGTGGCCACAAGATCTATGAAAGGGATTATATCTCTAAGGATGTCTTCTGTGGTATAAAAAAGCAATCAAACACGGACACGAGGAGTGTGATCGAGCAGGACTTCTCTCTGCTTCGTGTTTCCAAAGATATGCTCTATCGTGACCTGCTTGAACTTACTACGTTCGGTGCGGAGAAGCAGATATCAGATGCGGATGAAGGTGAGAGCAACATGATAAGACCATAGCATTGGTTAGAATAAACCTTCGGATCCGATTTCTTATAGTGTACTGCGACCACGTTAGCGTTGACCACTCAGCTTTGTTGTAGCAGTAGCAACATCAGGACACTGGCCTTTCAGCATGCCGGTGCGCATGTTGTAGAACCATCCGGCTTCCCTGTATCCAATGTTTGGAGAGCCATCCCAGACAAGAGACAGCGAGCTTTCCTATCATCTACTGTTATATCTCACCAGCTGCCAGCCCCATTTTCGAGATCCCATGGTGAGTCTGCAACTCATTCGATATCATTCATGATGTCATCGTCGTAAGGATAGAGCTGCAGATACATCTTCAAGATCCGAGGCAGGGAGCGGGGGAACCCAGTCGGGAATGTTTTGCCCGTTTGGGAAATGCGGACAGCGCTTTGTCTTCTAGCAATGAGAAAAATAAAGATAGGGGAGTGTTATATAGTTATAGTATTACCCTAAAGATATTATTCTTCTCTTACTTCTATCTTAGTTTCTTCTTATTATTTACTGACCATGACTCTGTTTACTTTGATATCTTAAAAGAGAACTATATTAATACTATAATATAGCCATAATCTATAGTAGTAGGTCTGTTTCTAATCTAAAAGAAAGGTAAGGTGAAAGAGAAGTAAGAGAAATTATGGTTAAGAATAATATAAAGATATCATTATTCTCTTACTATTATCTCAGTTCATTCTTACTATTTACTGACCTTGACTCTGTTCACTCTGCTCATTAAAAGTATCAAGCATGATTCTATATACAGCCTCATCTTCCCCTTCGCATCTCCCCATCTACATCTTCCCTGCTCATCTACCCTTCTGTTAGAAACACATTTCCAACATCCACCAATGGATGACGAACCACAATTTTCTTTTGACTTCTCGGACATACCAGACACCGAACGGAAAGACACGGGCCCGAAAGGAAGGAAAGTGCAAAGTACCAAGAGAGAATTACAGGAGGCACTGAAGCTGCAAGACGACCATGAATGGATCGAATGGCTGCGATCTGACATCGTAAAACCATGGTGGACAGAGCTCTGGGCGCATCTCAGCAAAAATATGCAAAGGAGAGAGGCAAAGGGATCGGCGAGATTCAGAACCGGATCTTGACGGGCGAGGCCTATGGTGTGCTAAAATATAGCAAGCCACATCCTAAAAAGGATGAATGGGAAGATGCAGATCACCTCGCGCGGTTCCACTTTAACGTCAAGGACATAAACCTACGATCACAGGAGGGGGTCTTCTTCGGTAAGAACTTCACTGATGAGATGATGGACAGGATTGTGTGGGCCTTGAAGGGCTGGCTCTGCAAGATACATGCACAGTCATACATTGATAAGGTGGAACTGCAATAACGGGGACAACAATGCTTTGTGGTCTTTATTGCTTTGTCGTGCCTTGACTTTCACATAGATTCATTCATTTACAATAGAGAGACACTCTCTTACAGCGCATGTCTTGATAAAGAAAAATAAGGACAGTTATTGGCTACCCATCAAGGATGAGGTTTGACTCTTTGTCACCTCGTCACGGTGCAGCTACTTTCGGAGCCTTCGATATCCTTAAGATACATCTCTTCCCTTGGTCTGTGGCATTCAGTCCGCTCTAGTCCTGAAAATGTACAAAGCCATTGACAATCTCTTTGTTCAACGGGCAAAGGGATGTCTCGCAGAAGACGAAAGGACAAGGTCTTTCTTTCGGTAGTTCCTCGAGTTTCATCCTCGACATTGACGACGCCGTTGAGGAAAAGTTTTTGCCATTGAGAAATCTAGTTTGTGAGACTTACAGTCTTGCAACGTCCCTTAAAGAGTCTTTCATTCTGAGCTTCCATAATGTGCACCAATGAACAATGTCTCTTAAGAGTCTTTGTCAGGGATCTCCAAACCCTCTATTGTACTCACAAGTTATTGACTCATAGTCGTGCAGGAAAGCAGAGAGTACATTAGGGATGTCTCACTTGGAGGAATATAAAGCAAGTGTGAAAGCTCACAGATGTGCCATGTCTTTTTCAGCCAACATATCACTCAACCCTTCAACAATCACCCAAAGATATTCTATACAATCCGCACAATTGACCACCTCCATTGACATCTTTCAAGCAAATAGTGACTCCCTAAGCAAAAATGCCACAACTTGAGCAGTTGCCTATGGAACTTCTCCTGGCGATCACTGACCACCTAGATCCTCTATCGGTGGCCAGTCTCGGCCAAACCTCCCGGAGGCTCAACGGTACGTTGCAACGTCTCCTAGCCAGAGCTGCCAAGCAGTATGCCCTCGCTGATGAAGCTGAGTACAGACAGCGGATCACATTTCACGAGGATGGAAAGGGTATTCGTACTCGAAAACGGACGCACAGGGTGCCTTCCCAGCCGCTCGTTCAGGCCATCCGGCGTCATCAACTCAACAAGGTAAGAAACTACCTAGAAGCAGGTGTCGACCCGAACGCCTATGACTTGGACGGACACCGCATGCTTTCACTGGCAGTCCGCGCTAAGGACGAGCCAACCGTGGACCTTCTGCTTGAGCACGGGGCCAACCCTGCTTTGAACGACGTGTGCGCGCCATATAACTCGCCTGTTCTTGAGGCAATAAAAATGGGCGATGATATAGTCAAAAAGCTGATAAGTATGGGAGCCGATTATACTCAAGCAAGGGTCACACACGCCCTCGCTGGTCGTTGCAGTCTGGATGTCATCAAACTTACCATTGACAAAGGTGCTGACTTTGGACAACCCAGTTTTGATGGCAGGACGGCGATCCACCACGCTGCAACAAATGTTAACCACCCAGATGTCCTTGAATTCCTCGTTGAACAGTACCCTGCGCTGCTTTCCTCCCAATCTGCCAGGACATTTCTCTGGTCAGCCATCTATAACGGCAGCGCTGAACTCGTCAAAACTCTCATCACAGCCGGTGTTGACATCGCCGGCGACACCCCCATCCACTCTACCCTTGCTAGTTGTTGCAGTCTGGACGTGATCAAAGCCGCCATTGACAAAGGTGCAGACTTTGGACAAATTAGCCCGGATGGCAGAACTATAATCCACTATGCTGCGACAAATACTAACCACCCAGATGTCCTTAAATTCCTGATTGGAAAGTACCCTGAACTGCTTTCCTCCCAGTCGACAAGGGGCAAGACAGCTCTCTGGTCAGCCCTCTACGAGGGCAGTGCCGAACTCGCCAAAATTCTCATCACAGCCGGTATCGACATCAACATTAGGGACCACGCCGGCAAAACCGCCCTCCATGCCGCCCTGGAATTCAGTCATCAGGCGGTTTACCAATCAATGGAGTATGTTGGCCGAGAAATTGCGGAGAGAAGCGTATCGATCGCCGCCGCGCTGCTCGAGCATGGAATCCAGGTTGGTATCCCCGATCAATGGGGCCTCACAGAGCTCCACCATGCGGTGCGCCAGAACGGGCACTATTGGTTGCACAAGAGCATGCCCAGTATCGTGCGTCTGCTGCTTTCCAGGAGTACAGTAGACGTCAACGCGCTAGGTCCTGGCGGTCTGACTCCTCTGCATCTCGCGGCTAAGGTCGGCTGGCTAAAGGTCGTGAGGATTCTCGTCGAGGAGGGCAATGCGGACGTCACCGAGACGGATAATTATGGTAAGGTGCCTGCACATCTCGCACTGGAATCCCCGGCTGTCTTGAAATATCTCTTGCGGCGGGCAGCTAACAGATCCTCTGTCATCTAGACTGTGATGAGAGAATGAGCATAGAACTGTCCGAGTCGAGTGCGTCAATGGGAGGTATGTACTATCCAGTCCCTTTTCTTTCCTCGCGGTGCTTGCTGATCTCAGGTGTCCGTGGTTGGGAATGGTCGGAACTTGTCTTCTGGGTTCTTTGGACGGCGTCGGTCTGTTTTAGTCTGATTTGCCTCATTTCTTGCTTTTGTTTCAACAATCGAACTGCTAGCCGCAAGTTTGTTTTTGGAGATCTTTGCTGCAATGATATCACATAGCACTAGGCGTGCCTAGTCCCATTTCAAAGAAATACGGTACACCTATTACACATCTGCCTCACCTTGAGAACTTGAAGTCTCAATTACTCTGTATTCATCCGGCTCACAATTCTATTTTGACAAGAAACTGAAGGAAATTCGTGAGCTCTGACGAATGAGAAATGCACTCGAACAATAAGACGGGAAGAGGAGAATTCCCTAGGGGATTAATGATGACACTAGCATCAAGCAGTCTGAAACCCATTATGTACTCCCACCAATAACACAGCTGCCATGCACTTTCTGATGTACACAAGTACACAATGCTCAGTGGTAACAAAACAGTGTGAAGCTCAAAAGGAATGTAGGCTGGAAATGAGGATCGTATCTCATTGAGGAATGAAAATGTACCCCTATTAGGATGACTTGACTTGACTTGTCGTTCATATACTCGCCGATGCTCCACTGATGTTCCGAATCGCAGCCATAGACGAGTTGAATGCCCGGGAGCTTGCAGTCATTAAGACCGAAAAAAGGCCAATGCTTCAAATGTAAGGAAGAAAAGAAGGACTATGTGACAATTGGGTATCATAAGACCGCTGATTTCGCCGAGTCGCACAAGTTGAATTCACAAGGTAAAGAGCTTCCAATATGCATAAAAGCAAAGAAATTCGTAGTGCACGGATTCCGTGCTTAATCGGGGTTTGTCAGCTATGAAAGAAATATTAGTACCAAACCCGTCAAGATGTGCGCACGACACGGGAAATACTAACCCGCAGCACCGGACGCGAGTAGTCTTCATTATCCTGGAGTGACACGTCGCTATCCCGACGCCCACCCCCATAAAGTACAGTGTCCGTTTTCAAGCGGTTATCAGTGAAAGTTGGCATACGTTGGGGTGTTATCGAAGACCCGGCGGATAACGTGTGACTATGCCCATCAGAGAACATGCCCTTCACGATACTCATCTGAGAGCCCTTGCTTTGCCTTCCGTCGAGCAGAACGTTCGAAACGCTCGGATCGGGGCTCTGAGCTCGCGAGCGACGTTTGGATGCAAGGACGAAGAAGATAATCGCGATGACTGCCGCTAAGCCACCGACAGAGCCAACAACAGCGCCGGCAATAGTTCCACCCGAAACTCCAGAGCCTCCATTTTGTGAATCCGACGAGGATGAGGTCGCTGTCGCAGCTGGTTTCGCATCCGAGACTGTTATAGTCTTCACTTGACCAGCAATAGTCTGAACCGAAACAGTATCTTGAGTAGTTGTAGGTGCTGTGGTAGTTGTTTTAGAGTCGGTGGTCTGTGTACTGGATTTGTCGGACTATACTGACGTTAGCAATGAGAGTTCAAGGGCTCCTCGGGGTGGTCGGCAATAGATGAGTCGCGTGGGGACGAAGTTCAATGCAAAAGACTACTGACCGTGGACTTTGTCGTGTCTGTTGACGATGGAGCAGCTGCTGTGCCTGAAGGATTATGTACAGACATCTGAATATAAGCATACAGGCCCTTAGAGGCATCTCCACAGCTGTCTGTCGGATATCCTGGACATCCTACGGCACAATCGGAAATGTCGGTGTTCGTAGCTTTGTTGGGGGCTATGTTCGAGCACCAGCATTCTTTACCCTGGAGGATTGCGAAGGCATAATCAGCATTGCAGGTCTGCGTGCAGAGTCCATTCGACTGGTAGATGCTGATGTCTGTAAGGAGAAAAGATCAGATATCACTTGGTGGCAGAGAGAGGTCGTTGGGGCTACCTACTGGCAGAGAACGAGGAACCGGTGTTCACGGAAGAGCAGTACGTGATATCGGAAACAACTGGCGATGCAAGTAAAGCAAGCAGCAGAAGACTCAAGTCGAAGAACATGGCGAAATTGGATTGGCAGGTGCAGATTAGGAGATATTGTATTCCAACCCCTACTTTTGTGTCCTGTCCGTGTGCAATTCTGGTTCGGCAGACTTCTGAAACTGTCCAATCGTTTTAACTGTCCCTCCCCTGATTATGCTCAATGTGCACCTGGTCCTGTCACCAAGGAATTCTGTATTTGATGGTCGGCAGGTGGAATAGAATAATTGTTAGATCGACGAAGCGTTTATGGTAAGCTCTAAGACGCTAAGAGCATATGCTCCGTGGGTAAATGATGTCGAAATAGGTCCAACACCTCAGAGAGTGTAATAGTTGATTGTCCAACGAACGTCCCCAGTCCCGTAGATAGATAACCTCTGGAACCTAAGAGTAGTTTAGTCGTGCCGATCCAGCATGAGCCAGGGTTTTGATGGCACCTAGAGAAAAGAAAAGGTGCAAGTTCAATCAGGAAGGCACTCACAGGATTATTCTGAAGCTGGAAAGTCTCCAAGGATTCAGGTTGGAATTAAACCTGCTTTTTCTTGTGACGGGGCTCAGAACG